AAGGCATGCCCCTAGCTGTCTCCCCCTACCCCCCACCCCAACTCCCTGCATCCTCCTCGCACCCACAGTTCAGAGGCTCTGGGAAGTCCGCTGCAGATCTCCCAGCCAGCGCCTCCCAGCACCTGTGCCTGGTGCCTGTAAGCACACCCCTTTCTGCACCTGCCGGTTCTGGCGTCCCGTTTCCCCAAGCTCCCTACAGCGACTGGCTCTCACCTGCATCCCTGCCGGCTCCCAAGACCCCCACTCTCTCCTGCACTCCGTTCCTTTCTGCGCTTTTGCCTCCTGCGTTTAGCTCCCTCCTGTGCCCCCGCTCCCCTGGCTCCCTGTCTACTTCCAGTGCCCAGATTTCCAGCCGGGCGAGCCCGTGCTCCCTTTCGCAGAGAGGGAACCTCGGTGTTCTCTAAGCACCCGAGAGCTTTGGACAGCCTGTCCACAAGGGTTGGAGGGGTTTGGCGGAGAGATTGTTCCTCAGGTCGGGCAGCCTAGCGGAGTGAGTGTAAAACCCTTTCCCCTTCTAGCGGGGATCCAGTCAGCCTGCGCCCTGCCAGCTCCGGGGATTGAAAGCCGGTGTTTGTGGTTAGAGGAAACTTTCCAGCTGAGCCCCTGGCTAAAGCAAACCACGCATCTGTCAGGAATGTTCTCTGGGCGCTGTTCTTGCCAGGAGCTTGCGTTCTGCTGCGGTAGATGCAGCAAGGAAGCAATGATTAGTGCATCTGACAGCTAATGCTGAGGACCAGTAGGAAAAACACACACTCCCCAGGCCCAGCTGGCGAATCTGAGTATGATGCAACCGTGTGTGTCTGTACGACAGAGAGGCTTAAGGAAATGCAAAAGTTTAAGCGTAGAGTAAATGACACTGCCACCAAGAAAGAGCACACTTAATTACACTTTGGACTTTTCACAGTTAGTAAGGCCACCTGTATTTTGTGCTTTATGATTCACATGATCTGATCATTTGAGTTGGGCCAATACAAACAAAAAGGCACTGTTGGTTTTGGTTGAGGTAACGAACTGAGATTTCAGATTTCTTGGTTGTTTTCTCCTTTGCCCAAGTTCCCAGATTCTCAAAACTCTAGGATTAGTTTTGGGAGGGATGAGAGAAGAAAATATGTAAATACTCAGGAGGATTAAAATCAGATAGCAGTTGAGAGTATAGCCATAGTTTTTGAGTTGGCAAATGAATCGGTTTGAAATTCGTGAGCCTGGCCTCTGGCCAGGCCGGGCGCGGAACCCTTGCGTCATTGTAGGCCAGGCTGAGGGACACCCCCCCTCCCACACAAATTTCGTGCACCAGGCCTCTAGTTGTTTATATTAGCCTTTTCCTGTGATAGATTAACATTCACATGATTGAATGTGGATAAAGCCTTGCATGTCTGCAGTTGTAAATGTGTGAAATTAAAATTATTGCCTAAACTAATATTTGTTTTATTGAATTGAGTAACACTGTGTTCCCTCTATTTTATAGAAAAGATAGGTCCATGGTAGCTGGATACTTGCCACTTATTAGAAATAGGTATTGAGACTGTCCAGTGGAAACTGGAGTAGAATGTGCACTTTCAGAACTTACCAAAGAACATTTCTTAAAAGCCGTGGAGTTAAGTTGTAGGGTAGACACCAAATGCAGCCATCTCTTCTTTAATTATCAATGCTAACTGGAAATGGGAGATGGCAAAGAAGAGTATAGATGTTTTCTCTTTCTCTTCCCACCCACATGCTGATATGTTACTCCCCGCCCTCTACCCCCACTACTTTTTTTTCTTATTTTTTACAATCTGTCTTTA